GGCTTCCATTGATTTCATTACATTTTTCACAAATTTGGATGTGGCTGTAAACATTAACGCATAATATATAATTATGTGACCTCAACATTGAAGCATATATACATATATATGTGGCATAACACAGTATCTCATGTAATCAAAGTCATGAATGAATTCTGGACAGTGCAATGTCTGTTTTAAAACAAGTTCCATGAAAATTCCACTAAATTGAAAATGCTACCATGAACATGTGTTTATTGCCAGGTGCTTGTCATATGATTTTTTCGACAAAAAAAATTTAATATTCATGATACAGAGTAATGCAGGTAGCACCTATAATGGGTCATTACTTCCGTTTTCATCTTTCCTTTTTTTTTAAAGTTGGTAGAGCATATATTAACATGACAACTTGCACATGACTTAAGTTCCTGTAATTATGTGCTCTGGTGCACATGTGTATGTAACACCCTCCTTAATCACATTTTCAAAGGGTGAAAGAGACCCCTATTTAGTAACCATTCAGATGGACAGAATACAATTGGGCCGCGTCATGACAAAACCAACATAATGGGTTTGCAACCAGCATGGATCCAGACCAGCCTGCTCATCCGCGCCGTCTGATCAGGATCCATGCTGTTCGCTATCAGTTTCTTTACTTGTTATAGGGTCTGTAAGCCAACAGCATGGATCCTGATCAGACTGCGAGGAAGCGCAGGCTGGTCTGGATCCATGCTGGTCGCAAACCAATTATGCTGATTTCGTCGTGACGCGGCCCAATTGGAGGTGCATGGGAGTCCCTATAAAGATGCTTGCTAAAGTGGCAGTCGTTCTATACCTACATAATTGTCAAAACTCTAATAACAAACCTGCAAGACAATTTATTATTTTCTGGCCAAATATATTAAAATGTGCATTGCTTCTGCGGAGTGCTTGAATGATTTCAATGCAAAATCTACGATACAAACAAATTTATTATTACAGTTTATACAGTCAATCATCATTCCCAAGATGTTCACTGACCCTTTAGATGGAATAATTATCAATATAAGCCCTCTGTCTGTCTCTGGTATAAATTACATTATATCTTTATAATAGAATCAGGGAATTCAATCTCAATCTTTATTTTTCAAAGACATGAAATCATTACAACATGTTAAACTAACTAGCACTAGCTGTAAACAATCCCATATGTGTAGCTCAGTAACAAGAATTACTGCCTTATTTGCTTGATTTTATACAAGAACACATTTCCTGTCAAGGAACAAAAATACGTAAAATGCGGTGTTAATTCCACAAAACATACATAACCTTAGTACTCTAAATATTGCAGGCTTCATTCTTTCTTGTGGGGCGGGAGGGGTCATTAAATAGATTCAATTTTCAACAGAACCACCTTAATAGTTTACTACATACCATTTTATGTACTTGATGTCATGTTGCACTATAGTGAGAAATATTTTCATAAAAAAAATATAGAATATGCATTTCGTTGGTTTGTTTGTCTCATTTTACGTCTTTTTCCAACAGTATATCAGTCATATAGGCGGGTAGTTTCCTAACCATCGTTCCTGGAGAGTAACACCAGTACTAGACTACCTTCCTCCGCGCTAAACTACCAAAGCATCTCCTGGGGATCGAACCCACGCCAAAAAGGTAACTTAGAAGTCAACGACTCTAACCCCTTGACCACAAAGGCGGTTGAATATGTATTTCATTTCTTCACCAATTTGAATTAAAATAAAAGCATATATTAAGCAAGTTGAAGCATTGAATGCACTGATGCTGTTTTGGACTGAAAGTGGTTGAATAAAAGTCTCAGAAATTGTTGCATCATTCAAACTGTGAGGCAATACTTGCAGGTAGGGGTCTCTACTGAAAATAAACTTGAAGAATTGTTAGCCTATGTAAGGATATAGGTACTTCAATTCAATATGGTTACTTGAATAAACTTCACACCTTCAATGGACAAAATAATTTATTTCTTGGCAAGTCCATAGCAATTAAACATATGAGAATTTCTGCAAACATGATTTACTGGAATCACCAGCTATCTTGACTAATATTTCATACCCTAATGTAAAATATGGTCCATTTACATGTCAAGAAGTAATTAGCACCACTGAAAAAAGATCTCCGCATGAAATCTGCTGTAAACAATTAACCAGATATCATCTCCACAAATATCTCAATTTCTTAATTTACATAATTACCCCATTCATCAACCGAGAAATTTCAACCAATTGTTGCTTTCACTTGTATTTCCAGTGAATCCATATTACAAAAAATTTTCTTTCTATTAATTCTGCATTTAATGGACTTTTTTTTTAAAACAAATATTGTTAAAATATCAAAGCTGAATCACAAGGCTATAAGTTGATTTCCTCTAGTCATGAATTTTCTATTTTCTTGTTTTTATTAGCTTAAAGGATTGAGGTCAAAAAGGCTAAAAACATAAAATTTGAAATTCTTACATATACTGAGTAAAGCACCACATAAAATGGAAAAATCTGCAAAAGATAAAACAGAAATATACTTAGAATTAAATCTAATTAAATCAACTGTTTGTGCAATACTTAGCCTGATTTGAATGAAAAGCATTGCAATGCTTTTCAGTTTTCGGGTCATTTTCCTATATAATTCTGGAAAGAGGAAGTGAGGTATTGATCTAAAATTTTGCACAAAAGTTATTGTTCCAGACCACATGGTACACAAATCTCGAAAAGATATTTTTAATCCTGTCATGTCAAAAAACCTCAACGAAGACCCTTCTAAAGTTTTAAACCTTTTAAACCTGTAAAGTTTAAAACCTTGAGTGTCATGACAAGCCTGAATGTCCTGACAAGCCCGAGTCTCCTGACAAGCCTGAATGTCCTGACAAGCCTGAGTGTCTTGACAAGCCTGAATGTCTTGACAAGCCTGAACGTCTTGACAAGCCTGAATGTCTTGACAAGCCTGAATGTCTTGACAAGCCTGAATGTCTTGACAAGCCTGAATGTCTTGACAAGCCCGAGTCTCCTGACAAGCCTGAGTGTCTTGACAAGCTTGTCCATTATGGACCATTTGACTTTAATACTAATAACCTTGTTACAGGAAAACATTCTATTTAGCACTGGTTAAAAGTTAAAAATGTTACCCTCCTGAAAAATCCAGCAAGCAGAATTTTTTTTAAAATTTATTTCAATATAATCATTATTATAATACTGCCTGTTGTTAAGCTGTCATTACACAGACACCGCCGCCCCTGCCCACAGAAGTAACCCCTATATGTCACCTTTTTCGAGGCAACACAAAAAGGAGGTTTTTGGATATGAAACAGAATAAATCCTGAACACAATTACCCATGCAGTAATTGATACACTTCATGTTTTGATTACAAACCTCTTAAAAGAAATAAATCCAAAATTGAACGAAAATGAAACCTTGAAGAATTCATTTGATTCACATTAGAAGTAGGTGGTAAAAACCACAATGTAAACTCTTGAGAAAATTTCATTATCAAACTTTATTATCTGTCGCTGATTTAAAAAAAAAAAACTAAAAAAAACTCATTTTTCTTTAATATTTGATTAACCATATTTTGATGATAATATAGAAAGACGGATCTGTTATTTAAGACGTTAAAGCTTAAATTGTCAGGGTTATCTATGTACACGTTACGCCATGTCTCTTCAAAGTAACTTAAATCATCATATAAACAAGGTTATGTAATGCCCTGATTTGTACTTTATTTATCTCATCTATAAGATAACTCTCTGCATAGACAATTGTCACCAGGTAAGAAAAATGTGCACCCTGACCGGGCCCTCGGAATACTGTACCTGTACCATGGCCCTACATTTTCAGCTATCAAGCCACATACACATTTTCTTGCCTTTATAGTGAACTGTTCTAAGCTAAGATCTACACTGAGGTTGAAACACACAAATAAATAAAATCAAATCATTACAAAAAAAACAACAACAACAGATTTACCTTTAAGTAAGATGATACCTATTATCTAATAAAAACCCATTCATTCAGTATTTTAGGAAGTAACCTTTATGTACTAGACAGTTTTAGAATCAATTTGTCTGGTAAATTATGATTTAACAATAAAAATGCTAATTTCCTGAATGAACTTTTTTTCTGCCATGATAAGAACACATACAGTGCCAGTTGGCTTTTTTCTTTAGCCAGATAGGATTTACAATGCCTGTTTAGACTGACTAGAACAAAAAAAAGGATCTGTAACAGAGTAACAAATGTCCTCTGCCAAAGGTGATTTTACATGAAACACAAAATTGTGCTATTTCAAAAGGTCTGTTACTAGTATTTTAGACACTTAAAGCTTAAATTGTCAGGGTTATCTAAAAAAAATACATGTATTTAAAAAATAATTTAAACCATCATTTAAAGCAAGTTTTATAACACATTTACATGCATTTTTATATACATATTCATCAAACTTTAGCCCCCTGGGGGCAACAGACATTACCCTACCCATGAAACCAGTGCAAATCAAGATCACCCATCAGTAAAATAAATTTTGAAAGTTTCTGTAAATAAGATAAATGGTATTGTCCAGATTGGTGAACAAGTCTGCAATAAATGATTACAGCAGTATTACTAGCAATAAATTTTTACATCAATATTACTGTCAATAAACAATTACACTAGTATAACTGCCAATAAATTATTACAGTATTACTATACCAGGGTTTTCATTAAGATTTTGTGTAAGAGGCCAGAATGTGATTGAAGGAGGCCTGATAGGGGGGTCCGGGGGCAAGCAAAATCCTGCATTCTGAGCACTTTCAGGGCTACTTTAGCCACTCTGGTTTAGCATCATTTTTTGAAAAAAAACACTATGGAAACTACTGGAAAAGCTTGAAACAGGTGCACTGAAATATGCACTTCACAATTGTTAGTTGTGTCACTCACTATACACAGCGTTTAACAATAATTTTTTTCATTTGAGCTAAACCGTCGCACCTATTTGCAAATTATAATTGTAGAAAGTTAATAAACAACAAGCCAAGATATACTTGATCATCATTATTTATAATCAACATCATCAATTTTCAAAGCCAAACATAAACACTTTTCATAGCCAACAATCATCATTTTACATACTCTCACATGATCACATTTTAACATTGTTCAAAGTCAAGCAGCATCATTTCAAACTTCATATTGTTAAATATCATCAAATTTCATAGTCAAACATCATCACTTCAAATAGTAAAGCATCATCACTTCAAATAGTATGCATCATAATTTTTTATCATAAATCTTTAAAGCAAAGTATCATCAATTTTCATAGCAAAACTTCATCACTACAACTTTCACATAGTTAAACATCATCAATTTTCAAAGCAAAACATTATCAATTTTCATAGTAAAACATCATCATTTTTCATAGTAAAACATATCCAATTTCATAGCCAAACTTCATTAAATTTCATAGGAAAACATTATCAATTTAACAAAACATCATCAATTTTCATAGTCAAACTTAATCAAAGTTCATAGTTAAACATCATCAAATTTCATAGTCAAAAATCATCAAATTTCATAGTAAAACATCATCAAATTTCACAGCAAGACATCATCAATTTAAATAAACAAAACATCATCATTTTTCATAGTCACACATCATCAAATTTCATAGTGAAACATCATCAAATTTCATAGTCAAACATCATCAATTCAAAGAGTCGACATCATACTTGCGAAGACTTCTTGACTATATTAACTGTAACTTTTGCTGACTGGGAGTGCAGCTGGTTGCTAGGCGGAACATCTTGAGTGGAATCTAAAATATATTTTGAAACAATGAACTTTTTGTTGAATTTTGTATTTGTTCAGTTTGTCATATTTCATCAAACTGTCTGCAGTATTTAAAGATTTTTAATACTATAGCATATAAGCTTACATTTAGTATAATGACTATGTGTTATTGGTATAACAAGTGCAGAAAATAATTTGTTTGGTATTATTTTGCAAGCAGACAGACAAGACTTTCAGAATTTTTTACCTGAATTTTTATGCTGGACACCATAAATTCAGTTTCTTGATGTTTTTAAATACCAGTACCTTTACTGAAGCAAATGGTGGTTGAAATCCCTGAGTTAGCTTCAGTTTGGTCAGTTGATACCTGCGACGTTTTCTTGGCCATATCACCAACAGAGGGCAGGACTGTAACTTTTCCTGACTGGGAGTGCAGCTGGTTGCTAGGCGGAACATCTTGAGTGGAATCTAAAATATATTTTGAAACAATAAACTTTGTGTTGAATTTTTGTATTTGTTCAGTTTGTCATATTTCATCAAACTGTATGCAGTATTTAAAGTTGTTTTTTTTTAAATATTATAGCATATATGCTTACATTTAGTATAATGACTATGTTAAATTGATATAACAAGTGCAGAAAATAATCAGTTTGGTATTTTTTTTTGCAAGCAGACGGACAAGACTTTAATTTTTTTATATTAATGTAGAATTACACAGTCTAAAAATGTTAATGCAGTTTATCACCAGGAATACTAAGTCATTTTCTTATCATATTCACAGTTTGTCACTACTTTGGTTGCCAAAACTTCTACCAGAGTGAATCGGATTGTTTTTTTATTTCTGAAATATCATGACTATACAATGACCAATCATTTATGTTGATATAATGCTTTATTCAGAAAGCGCCTTGCATGTAAAATGTTTGTTCTGTAATGTATACTTTCATAATCCTCTAATAAACTTTATACGGCAGGGAAAATTATACTACTTTGACTCACCCTTTTTAATCCAGCTATCATATAAATGCGTGTTGAGATTGAACTGTAACATGGAAATATATAGTGTTAACAACAATTGTGAACAAAACTGTTTAAACATTTTTTTATAAATAAAATTCAACATATACAAAATACAAAAAAAAAATATGTCAACTGGGCCCTCAAACTAACACAGCCTTGAGTTATTGATGAAAGTATGTGAATTGGCACAGAAAGGCTGAACGTACGTTTTGTTTATTTCAGATAGGTTTTTACATTTTTTTTCTTGTGGCAGCACGAAATACCCAAATACAACCAAATATACTGTACAGTATAGCAATACTCATTTTTGTTTGTATCAATTTAGATTAGCTGTTTCTTAAATGTATACAATGTATACCTGCCTTTAACACTCGTAAGAGGGGTTGGCAGTATCCAGAGATAGATAGATAGATAGATAGATAGATAGATTATATTATAATGAGAAGATGAATTTATAATTATAAAATAACATGACTAAGTAATAAAATATAGAATATAATGAGAAAATGAGAAATATTTTTAAAATAATACGACTTAGCCAGCTATAATTAACTTTTATTTATTTCGTTGAAATGGGCAGTTGAGATATTTTAAGAAAATAAACTTGTGACATTTGCTGATGTAGGTTCATTATACTTGCAATTTAAGATAAAGATAATGCTATGATAATATTTGTTGTCTTAACTTAAATTTTAAGGGAATAATTTTGTTTGTAATTTTATACAAGGATCCGTCGTATTATTGATATATGTTGTTATTAGAGGGCCGAGTTTGTACAGGGCCGAGTTTAAACCGGCGGCACGAAATACCCAAATATACCCAAATACACCCAAATATACCCAAATATTGCCCAAATATACCCAAATATAGCAATATTTATTTTTGTTTGTATAAAATATAGATTTATAATGAGAAATAAATAAATATTTATAAAATAACATGACTTAGCCTGCTATAACTTTCATTCATTCCGTTGAAATGGGCAGTTAAGATGTTGTAAGAAAATAAAGTTGTGACATTTGCTTATCTACAATATCGCTTCTTTATGAATGCAATTTTAATTCAAGATATGATATTTGTTGTCTACACTTACATTTTTAAGGTGTAATTTTGTTGAAATTTCATATCATAATAGAGGAAGAAGTCCATGTTATTAAAAAAAGCTTTAATGGAGTACATATACTGTATCTTGGTTCAAAACACAATGATAGGAAAATGTATATTTGGGTATGTTTGATTATATCTTAGTGAAAGTGTATATTGTATTCATGATTAAAACAGCACTTTTTTAGTATAAAACATTTATTTTTAGTATAATTGGACAATATTTGGGTATATTTAGGCAATATTTGGGTGTATTTGGGTATATTTGGGTGTATTTGGGTATATTTGGGTATTTCGTGCTGCCCAGTTTAAACGCTTTACGAAATATAATTTTACTAAAAAATAAACATTTGTCAACGGTAAACAATTGAAACTGCGAAAGATATTTTAACATGAAAAGCAAATCGATATAATTCTTTAGAAAACTTACTTGATTTCGGTTGAAAATTAAAAAAATCGTTGATTTTGCGATCTATTTTTCGTTTTTTGGTCGCCATATTGGATGTTTAAGTGCCGCCAAGGAAGTGAACCGCAATTAGCGGTAATGCATAAAATTACCGAAAGGAGCGAATCGTAAATTTTCGAGCCCCCAAAGCAGTTTCCAAGTATTCATTAATGGTATCTACGGGATTTCTAGCCGGCCCAAAACGTGTTCTAGGCGGCCAATTTGGCCGCCGGCCGCCTCTTAATGAAAACCCTGCTATACTAGTATTAAAGTCAATAAATTGTTACAACAGTGAAACTGTCGATAAATTATTACAGTATTACTGTCAATAAATCATACACCAGTATAACTGTCAATAAATTATTCCAACAATTATAGTACTGTCAATAAATTATCACAACAGTATAATTGTCATTAAATTTTTTAAATAGAGGATATTTGTTTAGTTCAGTGTAAGATCAGAATAACTGCACCGAGTGAGCACCAAAAGGTATATTTCACGAGTGGCGCAGCCACGAGTGAAATATGAACTTTTGGTGTTCACAAGGTGAAATATATTTCGATCTTACACTAAACTAAACTAATTTTCTTTTTATTATATGCAAAGAAACGTTTTAAAAAGACATTAAACCTAATACTGAATGAAAAACGCGCCAAATAATAATACAACATGCATTCTGTGCACGCTGGTATTTCACTGAAACAACGTAAGGGGCTTACATCAAAACAGTGAAATTATCAAAGTGGTAATTTCACTGTTTCAAACAGTGAAATTACCAGTTTTAAATCACTGATATATTTCTATAAACCACCGAAAAGCATGTAATAAAACAGTATAACTATCAACAAATTATTACAACAATAGAACAGTCAATAAATTATTACAACAGTATAATTGTCATTTAAATTATTACAACAGTATTACTGTCAACAAATTATTACAACAATAGAACAGTCAATAGATTATTACAACAGTATTACTGTCATTAAAATCATTACAACCATATTACGGTCAACAAATTATTACAACAATAGTATACTGTCAATAAATTATTACAACAGTATAATTGTCATTAAAATTATTACAAACAGTATTACTGTCAACGAATTAAAACAACAATAGTTCTGTCAATAAATTATTACAACAGTATAATTGTCATTAAAATTATTACAACAGTATTTCTGTCATTAGATTATTACAACAGTGTTCCTGTCAACAGATTATTGTTACAATAGAACTGTCAATAGTACCGCCTCCGTGGTCAAGGGGTTAGAGTCGATGACTTCTAATCCAGTTACCTCTATGGCATGGGTTCGATCCCCGGGAGATGCTTTGGTAGTTTAGCACGGAGAAAGAAAATCTAGTACTGGTGTAACTCTCCAGAAACAATGGTTAGGAAAGTACCCGCCTATATGACTGAAATACTGTTGGAAAAGGCGTAAAATGAAACAAACAAACAAACAAACAGATTATTACAACAGTATTACTGTCAATAAATTATTACAACAATAGTTCTGTCAACAGATTATTACAACAGTATTACTGTCAATAAATTATTATATCAATAGTACTGTCAATAGATTATTTCAACAGTATTACTGTCAATAAATTATTGTACAAATAGTATTGTCAATAGATTATTACAACTGTATTACTATCAATAAATAATTGCAGCAATATTACTGTCAATAGATTATTACAACAGTTTAACTGTCAATAAATTATTGCAACAATAGTACTGTCAATAGACTATTACAACAGTATTACTGTCAATAAATTATTACAACAGTCAACAGATTTAATGATAGAACACTTGGTAAAAATATTAATTCAGTATGGTTATATTCTCAGAAAATAGTGTCTGAACATTTCAGGTTTCTTGTCTACAATTCAGGTAACAATTTATAACATCTTCTGGCAATCAAATAACCAGAATAAACCGGTAAATAGAAAACTAGTGTCCTCATTCAAATTTTGATAGATAATACCCAATATTCTACTTAAATCTACATGAATTGCAGATTTTTATTTTGGCAACTTATATCCAAGGAGGCAAAATGTCAAAGTTGCCTGTGGCAAACATTCTGAAATCCTGTTTGATTGGATTTTAAGCTTTGCATGCAGTAAACAATTAAAACATGAACTTTTCTACTATATATCCTATTAGCACTTCACTATTAAAATGTAATTTATTTGCCATTATGAATTAAAACCATTTAAGACATACTTTAGCCAGTGTTAGAGGGCATGGATAGTAGCTTTGACTAACATTACTGCTGTCAATGAAGAGGCCCAATAAAACCAGGCCTGAAATCTTATTAATTTGGCCATGTAAAAATGGTTTAACTTTCTCATTATGGCATAACAAATAGGTTATATAATAGAAATAATGTCAACACACTAACAAAACAATCATAAAACTTGGCCAATTTATTTTTAGCATCTTTTTCAGCAATTTCTCATCAATAGGGAAAAACAGAATCCATTTAAAAAATAAAAACACCTAGGAATCTAAAAATCTTTCCTTTTTTATACAATGGATTTAATTTCAATATTATCTTAAACTCATAAATCACATCCCAGACAGACCTAAGGTTTCAAAATCACATTTTTCATGCGCATCTTTGCATATTTTCCATCAACTACTATAATTAAATGGAAATTCTATCAAGTGCAGAATAGCTGTAAACTTGCGATGAACCTGCACCCGAAATTATGACAATTGCTCATCAAATGCTCAAATAACAGGTTCAGTTAAACATACCAGTTTCAAGCTGATTTACATTAACAAAGATGTTCCCCTTTCACCTTTATCGTCCCACAATGACATGCTAATTACAGTGGGCATGACAGTAGACCAAACCCTGTTTTCACGCATCACTTCCTGTTAACTGTGCTTCCAATCACATGGTCTTTGACCTATGAAAAATTAAAAACTGAAAGGACAAAATCCTATTTTAAATGGAACAAGACTAAAATTCTTTTTGTTGTAAAGAAGATTAAGGGCTAGACTGTACCTCAACAGAACTGGAAGCAGAATAAAGAACTATCATAGAAGGTGGCCAATTAATCTCTAGGACTGGTTTGTCAAGCTGTGCCGACAATTTGTGTTTCAATAGTGATTGAACTTTTACACAAAAGTTGACAACGGATTAAGGACATCTCATTGACATGGCTAACAAGATTTTCATCTTCATGAGACAATGAAAACATAGATGTGCGGACATTATGTTTCACAAGTTTAATAAAAGAGGGAAAAAATTGCGCCAAATTTTATAACATAATTAAATCGTATTTTGACCTGAATTCAATAAAAGCTAGACTCCTACAAGTATTGTTGCAATAAAAAACACTCATAAATGTTAAATAATGTTTGTTTTGTTGCAATAGATATCTGTAAATGACAAAAGATATTGAGTTTCTCCAAATTTATGAATTGTTTAGCATTAGTGCACTGTACATTTGTAATCCCGATTTTCTCCAAAAAACCCTAGTGCTTTACCAATATTATCCAAATATCCCAATTATTTTGATTTATGACATTCCCAAAATTTCAAAGCAACATTAAAAACTGATGTTATATCATAAAAAAACACCGGAACTGCAAATATGTTTGCTTTTATATATATATCTTAATTTTTTCAAGCAGAATATAAATTCCATCATCTTTGCTTATCTATCAGATAACTCAGACATTCCCTCATTACTTAAATTCATTAACAAATTATATTAAAAGACATGAACATAAAATCAGCATTATATATATTTTCTTACAAAGTAGATTAATTGTAAGTGGTTTGTATTTTTTTCACTTCTTTAAGATTGGCATGATAGTGTTATTCAAAGGTATAATCTCTTAAAGCCGGAATTAAAATGTAATTAGGCTTGGATTCACTAAATCACAGGATTAATGGAATTTCTTTCATTTTCATACCCTTAATTACAGGCGGTAACTGTACCCTCATCCCTATGACACATCTTTTCATTAATGATACAGAAGGACAAACAAAATCATATGTTTCAGCTATTCCGCCTGTTCAGCTTCCAACATAAAATTGTAACCAGAGCAACAAAAATAAATCATGACCTGTCCACCCTTCTTTTGTGAAGAGTAATTGTTAAGAAACACAATAGACAGCTGTTATATTGCTAATATAACCCTTGCTTAAGGTTTAGAGATTAAAGTGGGCGGGGCTAGGGTCATATACAAGATTTGAAGGGCGGGGCTGTGAGTATCAATTCCATAGATCAGCAGGTGTAGAAAAATTAGTTTCATTGTATTTATTTTCTCAGCAATATTCAAAAACTCATTTTCAGAGACAAATTCAAAAATAATGATTATTTCTTTTTAGAAAAATATGTCAATGGAATATAGGAAAATCACTGAAATGTATACTTAACCTTGACCATTACTTAACAACTTTTTAGATTTTTCTTTTCTAATCAGCAAAATGAAAGCATACTTTAAAAGATACTGATATTTTATATAATAAAGATAATTTTGAAAACAAATAATTATATAAAAAAATTTTTTTTATCACATTCAATTAAATATGATGCCTCAGATTTTTTGTTTGTTTGTTTGTTTCATTTTACGCCTTTTACCAACAGTATTTCAGTCATATAGGCGGGTAGTTTCCTAACCATCGTTCCTGGAGAGTTACACCAGTACTAGACTACCTTCCTCTGTGCTAAACTACCAAAGCATCTCCCGGGGATGGAACCCACGCCAGAGAGGTAACTGGATTAGAAGTCATCGACTCCAACCCCTCAACCACGGAGGCGGTATATGATGCCTCAGGCAGTAAAAACACAGATTTAAGTTTGAAAACTTGTTCAATATGACTACAGCTCAAATATCTCCATTATCAAATTTCTTTATCGGATTTCTGTTTCATACATCTAGTCATTGTTTGGGAATTTTCTCTCGCATATTAATCTATTTTTTATGTACTCAGTTTCATTCATCAAAGGCAACATATTATAACAAACCGAGACAAAAAAATCTTTTTTGGCTTCAGCACATTGGCACAAGACATCCCTCCACTTGGAAATCGGATATAATTGAAAATAACTTTCAAGATCAACT